CAGGAAATTTAGTGGGAAGTGTAGTAACTATGTACATATAGGCAAATAATGGTCAATAATCACACTTAAACCATTCCCACCTTTACTAATAGACAATACAAAATTGCATTTGCATAGTGCCTTTCATGTCGGGAGGACATCCCAAGGCGCTGGACAGTCAGGGATTTGGACACGAGCGGGTTGGGGGGGTGTAGTGGAGGGGGTTACAAGATAAATGAAACACATTATGTTTCATGTTTCTTGTACTAATTAATGTACATTACATTTGTTCATACAAAAAAATCAATCAGCAATTCCTCAGATCATCCATCTGATAATATGCAGATGGATTAGGATGATACATTTCTTTAAATTCAATGCTCGCCCATTCATCAAAGTTTCAATATAAATTTTCCAACTTACTGAGACTATGCCCTCTATCATCTGCCTGTTCAGGTTGAAGACAAAGATCCCATGGCACTCCAAAAGAGGAAGGAGGTATCTCCTGGCCAACAACCCTCAATTTAAAATTGGTCATTCACTTCATGGCTGTTTGTGGAACATTGTGGTAAATTGGCTGCCATGTTTGCCGACAAAATTCTCAGTTGCTACACTTTACAGTAAATCCTGTGAAGCGCTTTGAGACATTCTCCTGATGTGAAAGACTATATAAAATTTAAAGATTATTACTATTATTATACTTATTATTTACAAATAGTTTTAATGGATTGGAACTCAGAACAGACTCTTGCATAACTCCTCTCAACACTATCTCCGAAGAGAGTGCAAATGCATTACTCACTGCCTCTGCTTTCTAACATTGAACCCATTATTAATCTAGTTTTCAATCAGCTGATGTATCTACCGTGAACTGCAGGCAGCTTTATCTCTTTTAAAAGGTTCAAATGTTGAAGTTTATCAAATTACTTTTGAAGGAACAATTATATCCTGGACATCGATATTGATAGCTCTTTCCCACCAATTTATTTATCAACTTGAGGAACCGGTGATATGACCTATTGCTTCTGAAAACCACGGTGACTATCTCTATCACTTCTGTGCTCTTCAGATGAATATTGATGGTGCCCCATAAAAAGCTCTGAGGCAATTTCTTGCTTCCAATATAAGGCCAACTGATGATGTTCTTTTTGATTCATACAATACTCTTTTTATGAATGTCAGAATTACAGCAGATGTACATCAGCCCATGGGTACAGTTGATCATTATCTCTCCTGCTAATCTCTCCAAAATATGAAATTAATCCATTCCTCTCATATTCTTTTGGATTATTAGGGTGAGGTTTAAAAATTGAGAAGATTTTCTTCTGGTCAGTAAATATACAAACTTTGACAGCATGCACCCTTTTCTCCTATTTTTTCCTCTCAATGTGTTGTCTCTTTCCTGGGATATCATCCAGTAACTCGCTCAAGTGGTCATCCTTCATGTATAAACCTTGACAATATAGTTCAACTGCTTATTCAACTGTGGGAGACATCACAACCGAGCTTGATCCTGTCCACACATGACATCCTCCCAATCACCTCCAGCAGGAGGGATCTGGCCAGCAGTCAGACGTGAGGGTTGTGTAAACACATCTGAGCTATTCCAACGTGTAACCATTGTGACAAGGTTACTGTGAGTACATAAGTCCAAAAAAGACCAGAAAGCAATATACAGCCTGCAAGGCAGGTTTTGCCAAGATTCAGGATTGGGAATTATTTTCCTGGGATTTCTTTTCCACTGTTTCTGACACTGAATTTGCTTGTGAACTGTGTCATTTTAGCTGCAAACTGAAAATCAGAATTAACACAGGGTTATCCAGTTTATGAATGCTGCAATTTCAATCCCAATATGCTATTGGAATTTTCAAATATTAAGGAATGGACTGTAGATTCATTTAATGTATTCAAAAAGAGTTCATGTACCCAGTTCAACACACAGATTTATATACATGTGATGCCAAGGCAAGAGAGATGAAGGAATAATAAAAATCCTTACATTTTGATACAGTGCCATTCACGTCAGGAGGACGTCTCAATGTGTTTCCCAGAATTTACTCTACGAGTGTATTTTGTAGACAAACTTGGCAGCTAATTCCTGTAGAGCATATTCCCACAAACAACCACAATGTAAATGACCAATTGTATCTGGGGGATTGTTGGCAGACAACCAGGAGAAACTCTCACCCCTTTTTATCTAGTGTCATGGGATCTTTAATGTCCACCTGGACAGGCAGGTGGAACTTTGGCTTAACATTGCATCCATAGAATGGCACCTCCAACAATACAGCACATCTCCAGCACTGCATCGGAGAGTCAGCATAGGCTTTATAAGTTCCAATATGTAAAAACAGTATTTGCAGACCCCAAACCAACAGTTAATTGACAAGGCCTGAATAGGCTGAATTAATTTGCTTGTTGTCAATTTACTGTTTTACAAGTAAAACAGAACTTTAATAAGTTCTTTAAATATTAAACAAGTCTGATTTAAGAACTGTGAAACAGATTTGGATTCCTTTCATCTAAAACTAAACTAAGTACCTCAAAAATGCAGATTGGAATGTACAACTGAGGTTTGCAAAATGATTAATAAATTAAGTAAAACTAGTGCATTGCATGCCCCTAGGGAAGATGTCCCTTTTTCTTTCAACTGTTGAGTACTTCTTTAATTTGTTGTTTGATGTGTGATCAATCGGTTACTCAGATGTTCCCAGCTTTTCTGGCAATCTTAACAGTGCTCTAGTAACCATGACCAACAAAGTACATGATCGACTCAGTAAAGAACTGTTTCAATTTGATCTTCATTCCCCATAAAGTCAAGCAAATATTAATTGGCTAAAATGTAGACCATTCACATGGCAAAGAGGGTAAAATTGGAGACTGTTACTCAGATCCTGGGCTAGTTTGAGGTTGGTGCTCTGTAAGATCGAATATTAGCATCACATGTGAAGATAACTGAAGCACCCCTAAAACACAATATAGCTGGCATTTATATAGGACATTTTGTGTCGGGAGGACATCTCAAAGTGTCTCTATGTTTCTCTTTTAGGTGTTCATCAACTTGCTGGGAATTTGCAGTACTAGGGAGAAAAATGTGACATTTCAAACCAGATTTGTTCACTGAATCTTTAAGAAACGATGGAACTTTAGTTTTATAGACTGGGTTTGAATGCCCTGTAACTGCAAATAATGTTTTTTTTGTAAGCGCAGAGACAGCATCTAAATGTTCTTCACAGGACACTGGATGAGTTAAATTTACCTTAAATACTCAAGTACGCTGCAGGAATCGGCTGTGCAGCAAATGAGTAGTTGGTATAAATTGGTTAATTTTGTTCAAGATACCATTGCAAAGGCTAGTGAGCAAAACTGTGCAAAGGCTTGTAATTAACTGAACCAAATAGCCTTTGTCCTGGAAATATGGAAAGGTTACAGAGAGGTCACTTGTGGCACTGATCAGATAGGAGATAAGTTATATAACATCAGCCAAATGGAGGAGCTGACATGAGGATTGTTGGCCCAGACAACAGCAGAAATTCCCTTTTCTTTTTGAATAGTGCCATGAGACCTTTAATATCCACTGAACTGGCCCCGCCAACAATGTAGCATTCCTCCATCATTGCAGTGGAATGTCAGCCTAGAGTATATGAACTCCAAGTCTTAATGTTGGGCTTGAACCCAGAACTTTCTAACTGAGCCAGGCTGACATATAAATCGACCTGAGCTAGGTAGGGCATTGGGTGAAATTGGCCCAACCCTAAACATTCGCAGGCTCCTACTCGAACGTATCATAATATTTAATACATTCCAAAATGGACAAAAACTGAAACTTTTAAGTTTCCTCTTAAATGTGTTGATACTTTCTGCTTCAACCACAGCTTCTAGCAATGAGTTCCACATTCTCATCACTCTCTAGGTAAAGAAGTTCCTTTTAAACTCCATTTTAAATCTACTACTGGCTACCTTACATTTACGCTGCTTTATTTTGGATTCAACAACAAGTGGAGTCTAATACTGTTCATCTTATTGAACCCTTTCATAATTTTATACACCTCTATCAGGTCCCCTCTCAATCTTCTCATCTCCAGTCTTTCTCAGGCTGTGTTCACTCATCCATGATAACATTCTAATACATCTACACTGCACTCTCTCCAAAGCAACAATAACCTTCCTGTGATATGGCGACATGACGTGTAACTAGAAGGGGATTGAGGGATATGGTGAGAAAGCAGGTAACCAAGGTTGAGAAATGATCAAAAAAGGGGCAGGCACTTTGGATCCGTACTAAAAAGACTTAAGTACTATCTGTCCAGTTTTTGTTCAATAACAAAACACAAAGGATTCGTAAAGGACTCGCAAAATGCTAGATCTCACAAGGCTTCAGTGTAGCGCATTTTCACTTTCTACCCAGGATTTGTAATAAAGAAAGTGCACACAGCAGGTACTTAATGAGCAAAAATGAGCAAAAATCATTAGCAAAACACTGTGCCACACAATTTTGGTAAGCTTTTCAAACAAGGGGACTACTTAAGTCAATTCCACTACATGTGCAATGTTCATACAGTTTTATTTTCTTTTCCTGTGTAAATTGGGCTTGTGGATTCAGGAAGGCATTCAACCGGAGCAGCAGGAGGTTAATTATTTACTTCAGCGAGTATATAATCTCAAGAGCATGCTACATGAGCTCATATATATGTGTGGGCATTGTGCAGTTTTAAAAAAATCAGGATAAATATTTTTCAAGTGTAATTGAGATTCGCGGGTTAGAAGAGCGTTAGATTCCATTAGACTTAAATGGAATCCATGTGCACAGCACTCCTTTTGAACAAGATCCCTCCAAATCTCCAGAACAACATTTATTAATGCTACACAGCGCATCCAGTATGTTTGAGCAAGCCTTGCAGCGACTCCTCAGAGATGTATTGATGGTACCAAGAATATTTCAAGTTGTGCTCACAAGATCGTAGCCAGTTTGAATGCATGTCCACACACAGTAAACCCCCACGCAAACAAAATGGACTTACCTGGAGTATTCAACAACCTTGACATCCTGCAGGTGTAGGATACATATTGTTCACAGTACTCAGCACTGCTGGTGACTGCAGAGATCTGATCCAGGGAAGTGCTGTAATTCAGTTTCATGACAGCGGGTTTCTCCAGGCTGGAACCAGTAATTGCTGTCTGTTGCAGCATATTGTGGTACACAGTTGTCCAGACATTATCCTCTAATGAAAGAAGAAACAGAAGTAGAAGTGTCAAGTGTTAGTTATCGCTTTGCGGAAAATACAAAGAGAACATTTACAGGCTCTTTTCTGGGTATTGTAGTTGTATCATACTTTGCAATTTGAACTTGACAAGTCTAACTGTTCAGCAAAAATATCTTATATATCAGCACGTGAAGCTGAGAAAAAGTGTGAACATGTTGACAAAATAACAGAAAGGAAAATGCCACCTTGCACAATAACCTTCCAGTTTGGAATTTTTTAACTTAATCTCGGAATTAAATTTCACAAATTAGTTTGCAAATCCAATATTGGCAGTAATGCAAGTTTGTGAATAGTGTAATTTCTCCACTATTTAAACAATGGTAGTGGCAACCGGGACACAAATAAATTATCCTTGCATTTGCTACAGTGCTTTATTACATCAGTGAATCACCTCAAAGAGATTCACAGAAGTGTAATTACTGTGGCTTGGTGGGCCAAATTTTATCTGGAGGCAACAGGAGATCGGACTCAGATTAAGGTCTCAACAGACTCAAGCCAGGAAAAACAGTCATTGCATATGAGTAGTTGTCTCTGGAGAAAAGCTTAGCTTTGAAAACACAGTATAATTGGAATCACAAAGGTCTGCAGCATAAAAAGTGCATTAATAATAATAATCATAATAATAATAGTGGAATTTGATATAGCACCTTATGTCTTTGAAATGTCTTGAAGTGCTTCATAGAATATACTGTAAATATACTGAATTCATTGTATATTTTGCGGGCGATATGCAGCAGCCAAACAGTGCCAACAACAACTTATATAGCGCCCCTCAGGCAGGGTAGTATTCCAGAGTGCTTGACAGTGGCGGAGCACGACGCTGAGCCGGAGGGAGGTGGGAGGTGATTTTAGGCGCAGTCGAATAGGAAGGTCTTCAGGCACAATCTGAAGATGGGGAAGGAAGGAGCAAGGCTTATAGAGATAGGAAGAGTGTTCCAAAGTTTTGGGGAATAGTGGCTGAAAGCACGGTCAAAGGTGGTGAAATGGAGGGCACTAGGGACATGCAGAAAACCGGAGCCAGTTGAGCTGGATTTTGTGGCTGGTGGGGAAACCGGCATTGGGGGCATTTGAATAATTGAGTTAAGAGGTGATGAACGCATGGATGAATGTTTTGCTTGCATCTGTGGTAAGGTACGGTCGAAGGCGGGCAATATGGTAGAGGTGGAGAAAAGCAATCCTGGTCAGGGACCAGAGGTGGGGAAGGAAGGACAGCTGTGGGTCGAACCTGATGCCTAGGTTGCGCACTGGTTCAGTGAGTCTGAGAGATTGGCTGGGGAGATTGATCAAGTCTGAGCCGCAGGGCAAAAGGTGTTAATGGGAGCCAATGAGTATGGCTTCTGTCTTGTCGACCTTAATTTATCGAAGTTTGTACTCATCCAGGCCCTGATATCCACCAGACAAGCCAAGAAAACATCGGCAGACCTGGAGTCACAGCAGGAGGAGAAGTAGATGTGTGTGTCATCCACATATATGTGGATGTTTACCCATGTCTGCTGATGACATTGCCAAGAGGGAGAATATAAATGAGGAAGAGGAGGGGGCCAAGGATGGAACCCTGGCGTACATCCCACAAACAGTCATGGATTGAGTGACCAAATTATTATTTTTTTTAGTTTATTTTTTAAGAGATTTTTACCCCCAGAAATGTGATCCACCAATCAACTAATAACCAGTTCCTACTTACTGCTAGGTAAACAGAAGCATGTGGAGTAAGGATACTTGCCTGACATTTCGCCCTGCCGGGGAATCAAACTTAGGTCCTCTTGCATGCAAGGAAAGTGCTCTAACCAATAAGTCACAGGATTCCACAATTAAACCTCACCATAGGGTTTGGGTGCTATCATTAAAATTAGTCACTCACTCCATAACTGTTGACCAAAAAAAAATGCGGTACTAATTTACACAAGTCAGAAATTCCTACATTCAACTCCATTTTTTCAATATAAAAAAATTAGATTTCTTCTTCTTTCTCTTTAACTTCTAATCTCCCTGAATAACTGACTGAAAAGAGCAATGTGCAGCCATCAACAAAATGAACACTCATCCAGAAAATACAAAGAATTGAATCTCTCCAGTGAAAAACTCAGTGACCCCTGGAGAAGTCCATAATGGACAACAAATTCATGAAAACTGCTCAAAACACAAAATGCTTAATAAATGCACAGTCACCACACCTTGCAGTATATCCTGTGCAGAGCTTTGAGACCTCCTCCTGACATGAAAGGCATTATATTAAATGAAAGGATTATTACTGTTGAATAATTGGTATTAAGGCTGTAACTCATAATCGGATGAGGGAACTCTCACATGAGAGCTGTATAAGCTCAAAACTCAGTGTCCTCCTATTGTAAATGGATGGTTGAAGACAAAGCTGAAATAAAAACCAATACGGACAAAAACAGACTGCATTATAAGCAGTCTTTGAGGGCAGGCTCAAAACATCTCATTGGTCTAAAATACGCAGTCAATCCACTTTACAGTACATCAGGTAAAGCACTTTGGGATGTCTGGACAATGTGATAAGGCGCTATATCAAATGCAGAGGATTATTATTATTAACTAAAAATTCTCATGGGTAGGTCTAGAGTACATTGTTCAGAAGATAGATGAATTCATTCATAGGTTTGTGCAACTCTGCAGAAAACTCAGTCAATGGCTGGCATCTGCACAGCCCAGGGTCTAGAGGGAACTAATGGAAGCAATTCAAGAGAGTTGACACTAGTCAGATGTTATGTTGGGATGGCAGTCCAGAGACACAAATAAGAATAGATTCAGTAAATCCTCTTTTCCTTTGGAGGAAATAAAGCTTGAAATGAACTGCCTATAGCTTTACTGTCAGCAGGCTGAGAATCAGTGAAGGAATTCTTAATCACCAGCACCACAAATATCCCTCCACACGGTCACCGCAGCACATTGCATTATCCAGAACAAGTACATTGCCCAAACCTGAAAGACTGTGCAATCCTCGTCCATGTGACTAATTTAGGATCAACAAGAAATCGCTCCTCATGTTCTCATTTTCATTCTTCAAAACTTTCCTGAGCTCAGGGCTGCACATTCATTAATCCCATTTTAACATATTTTTTTTGCCACATTTTGATTCCCAAATGTCAAATTTTAAAGGTTTTGTTTATTCTGCTGTAGGGTCTGGCTACAACCCACATATCAGTCCTACAACATGCTCTCAGTGGGATTGTATCAGATATTACTTGTCAAAAAGATGAAATTAATTGAAAGTTTTTTTTAAAAAAAAACATGTAGTGTCAGCAAATCACTGAACCATCTATTAAAAAGCATAAGTTACTATTCGCTTTATAGATGTATTATTTTCAAAGTATATTTTGGTTACAGAAAATAAGTACATAATAAGGACAATAATAAAATTGAATTATCCTTTGATATAGCACTCAGAATATCAAAAGCATCCAAAGATTCAAAGCACTTCACAGATAATTGATGTGAATTGTGTATTTGTTAGCGAACACAATACCCATTTTGCACACACCAAAGTCCCACAATAGCCATGAAGTGTTTGACTAATTTTATCAATTTATTTGAATTGTTGTCCAAGACAATGGGAGAAACACTCTTCAGTTTTCAAATAGTGTCCTGGGATCTTTAACGTCCATCTGAACCGACACATGTCTGAATTGTTCTGAGACTTGGCTACAGATTCTTCACTTTCATCTAAGCGACAAAATGTCTTTAGACAGTCGTAATCTATTTCCTGGGATTATATTTCCATCGAACAAAAGTTATCAAATCAGCTGAGGACAGAAGGAAGTGATCTTTCCCTGCTCTCTCAATCCCTTCAGTATTCCTTGATATTTATTTTCTTTTTAGGGTCTGCTCCTGTCTGAATATTTTGCTCCCTAATTGTTCCAGAATTTGGCATTTGGTAGAATTCAGTCTTAATTTGGAGGCAGTTTTTTGTAGTTCTTGAAACAAACCAACTTGAAAAAAAGATTGCCAAATTCTGGTCCCTTTGAAATAATAATCCTTTCATTTGATATTATGCCTTTCAATTCAGGAGGACATCTCAAATTGCTTCAAGGATATACTGTAAAGGGAAGTGACTGTATGTTTTGTGGGTAAAATGTTACGGAACTAGAGTAAATCTAGACCTGGGGTGGGGGGATTTTTGTTCCCACAAATGTTTCCAGGTCAGGTCGAGCACAGCCAGATGCAGAGTAAAACCTTCTCTAATCTAGCCCAATGTGTCATAACACAGAGTTACAAAGAACTCCCTTCTGTACTGTGGAGAGATTTTTTTTACTATTTGCCATGCCAGCTATTCTTAGAGTGTCTCTGAGCGAGGTACAGAAATCAATGTCAATTCATGTCAAATATGAGTANTTTTTTTCCTGTGGCGTCACACTGACTTGAATCTGGGATCAGACAGCACCAAAAGTATCAGTTAGGTCTCCCATGCCTCCATTGAGAGAGGAAAATTTCACCTCATTAATAACTTATAATGGACAATGTGCCACGTAATCCCCTGCAATATGGTTTCCTTTTTCTCCACATAACTGTGCCTCCGTAACTAACCATTGTAACCATCTGCATTCCCTGTACTGAGACAATTCCCCAAACAGTATTCTTGACTGAGCAGCTTACAATAGGGAAGGTGTTTTCATTTTCTACCTGAGAAATATTCATCACTTCTGATTTTCAAGCCCTATATGAAGTCCTGTAGCTCAGTGGTTAGAGCACTCGCTTTGCAAGTGAGAGACCTGAGTTCAATTCCAGGCAGAGGGCGAAACCTTGGGCAAGTTTCCTTACTCCACACAGAGCCTAATAATAATCCCTCCAAAACAATAATAAATTGGTCATTCTCAATCTACGACTGTTTGTGGGACATTGCTGTGCGCAATTGGCTGCCGCGTTCGCCCACAAATATACAGTCAATTCACTTTACAGTGTGTTCTGTGAAGCGCTTTGGGACGTCCTCCCGACGT